GCCCCTCCCTTCCGCCGGCGGCAGGCCGGGCCTTGGCCGCCTGTTTGCGGGACACCCCCGCCGGGCGCCCGCTGCGCCTGCGCCAACCGGCGCCTCTCACGTGACCGCGCCACCATCGAGAGAGGCGCAAGAGCGGCCAGAGCGCCGCCGCTCTACCCCCCTCCCAGGCGCGCCTCTCGCTGGTGCCCCGGCACACCCGCGAGGTGGCAGCAGCAGAACGTGGCTGAGAGAGCAGGAGGAGGGCTCAAACGGCGACAACTAATTACATTGTCACACCTGAGACAGGCCGAATCTTCGTCTCCTACTTCCCCGGGCACGGAGGGAAGGTCTGAACCGCACGGGCGGGCTGGGGAAGGGGCACAGCGAGAGGATGGTGACTGGTGGTGGTTATTTTTGTTTTTTTTTTTAAGTTCCTCTTGTCCAGAGTCACAACGTCTTAGAGCAGAGAGGAGTGGGGTGACTGTCACCAGCGTGAGGTGGGGGACTGTCACCAGCGTCACCTGGTGTGTTCCGAACGGTGCTGTGCTCAACGCCCTACAGCAAGCCAGGGTTTCGCTCTGACGCTGTTATATCCATTTCCTGTCATAAACCAGTCCGTAAGAGGCATTCCATAAAAACACATTTTCTTATGCAAACATAGTAAGCAGGAAAACAGGATTAGTACGTAAACTGACCGCAAATCATTAGCGAAACAGTAATTAGCCTAAGTACCATTAAAGGGCTATAGGCAATTCAGTTAAGTACAATCCGCGTGCAAGCCAGAGAATATCACCTGTGACTCCAGCGACACAACTGAGTCAAAATCCTTCGTCACTTGGCGGAAGATTTCATCAAACAACCGTTTTTAACCTAATATGACCAAAAAAAGCCGGGCAGAGAAAGCATGGGCTCCCTGAACAGCACGCTCAATGGGAACCCAGTCAAAAGGCAGGCAGAAGTTGCTCCCACCCACTGCAAGAAGACAGGGCAGATGGACACGGAGGTGTGGATTCGTCCCACCTGGTTTTACACTGAAATATTTGAGTCAGGAGCGTAGTTGCCCTTCTCTGGGTCTGCTCCAGCTTCCCAACACCTGCACGCCAGTTTCATACCATTCTAATGATTAAAGAGTCTGTAAATTTTAAGACATTTTCATTTTGGACATGGGAACTGACAGACTAAATTTGAAACTTCTAAAGGATTGTAAAAATGGCAGGTCTGTCTTCTCTTTTCCCCACATCTTTTCTTTTTAACAGCGTTACCTTACTAATAAAGAGGTATGTGAAATGCACTAGAATATTCTCCTATTTTTAAACATAAAGGAGCTTTGTGGTTCACCAGCCCACTTCCAGACCTTCTTGCACTTCAACTCTGAGTCCCGCTTCTGCAACCTGAAAGATCCTCAGGCTCCTGAAATCTGGGGTCACCCAAAAGTCCATCAAACCCTGCTGGGTGCCACCTCAGCAGAAATACAGCCGGAGCACCCAGCTTGCTTACAACAAACCTCCTATGATTTCTCAGCAAAGAGGAACAAGCTCTTCCCACCTCACCCCCCCCCGTCAGCAAGTTCAGGAGATTAGAGTCTTCCTGAACTCCCTGCTCTGCTAAATTGCGGCTGTTTCATCTCTTTCTGTTAAAGGGAGGGTCGGTGCACGGCAGCACAGATGGCTTGAGCATCCCGGTGCATTTGAGGCTACCGACTCGGTATTCCATGAGTTCTACCAGTAATGCTGAGCTAGTCCAGCTTTCTGGGATTATCACCCCTCCTCTTCTATCTTCCTTCCTTCCTTCCACAGGATTTTTACTGAGAAACCATCTGTATTTTACCCCTAAAATAAAAAGTTAGAGAGAAATTAGCCTAAGTAAGTGGGAGGTGTCCCTGCCTATAGCAGGGGGGTTGGATACTCAATGATCTCCAAGGTCCCTTCCAACCTAAACCATTCTATGATTCTATGAAATTAGAGTGAGGGATTTTGTTCAGGCATTTATTTTTCAGAAGAGCTGAATATTCCCCAGAACACCTAATAAAAGGGTATTCCTGAGGGTCTCCTGTGAATGTCAAGAAAAAGAAGATGGTCCCACCAAGACACTAAGCTCACTTTTAATTTCCAGATCTCTCCCCCGGACTCTCTGAAACCCCATGTTGACCTTAAGTTCTACTTCAGTTCACACCTGAAGCCCTCTGATGACTGAAACCAACAGGGATGCTCCTAGGATAAAAGAGTTGAGGACAATGAGACATTCAACGCTCAACATTAATAATCTCAGTCTCATTCTTTACTTTGTGCCGGAGGGTAACAGCTCCAGGGTAGCAAGTATTGCTAAGCAAGAGCAGACTTCCTACCCAGAGCACTCCCAATTAGTGGTACTTACACTCTCTCTAATCAAAGCACTGCATTCAGTACACCAATTTTAATATTAGATAATTCCTCTGAATCTGTCACTGTCCAGCAAAGCAGTGTTTAGAGACCAATGAAATTGCTTTCAAGAAATAAAGTACTAATTTACTAATAATGGTAGTGTCTGGCTCTCCCAGCGAACAAAGCTGCAGTTAATGCCATGGGGTCAGCTTCCGGACGGGAATTGCTCAGTGATATTATCAGCTGTTGTAAAATGTCTTGGCCATGAAGTTAATCATTAACTCAGGTCCCCGTCTCATAAAAACACCGCATTGTAAGAGCACAACATGCTTAAAGCTAACTGTCACTAATCAATCACGCATACAGCGGGAATAAAGCAACACATAAAAGGAGCCAGAAACTCAGCAAATCCTTCAGCGAAGGGAAGACAAACTGCACCGAGGTTTATCTCCATGGAGAAATTCACTGACAAGCCAAACAATGGAAACGGATCCACAGCTCCTGCGGTACCGCAAGCTGAAAAGGACAGTCCTGCGTCTGCTGTGGAAGGCGCTGCAGAAATGAGCAGAACAGAACCCCTAACAGAGAACGCTGCAGACATGAAGAAGATGGAATTCACTGAAGAATGTATTAAAGACATGGAGAGACCTTCAGGCACAGAGCGAGACAGTCCTGATGCCTTTAAACCAGCGATTTCGGAAAGAGACTGTCCAAACTCAACGCCTCTTATTATGGTAATGAACAAAAACTCTCCCGAAGTATGCAGTTTTGAGATGAACGACCAGTGTTTAACCACAACATCTCTTGATATGGACTGCCTAGTCTGCTTCAACAAGTACAACATCTACAGAGTACCAAAGCTGCTGGCCTGCCAGCACGCCTTCTGCGCGGTCTGCCTCAAACTTATCCTCAGGAAAGAAGACAGTACCTGGATAATCACCTGCCCCCTGTGCAGAAAACCCACTTTTGTGTCAGGAGGACTCATCCGCACGCTTCAAAATAAAGACGACATCATGGAGCTCTTGGAAAACCCCGATTCAAGCACTGAGGTACACATCTCTGCCATGGGGTTGGACAGCAATAGCTGGGCTCAGAGCAGCCAAGACGCTTTATACAGAGACGAAAACGTTCCAGCAGACAACCGGCTGGCGATCCAGAGACTCGTGCTGCTCTTGCTGCTTGTGGTGATTCTCACTATCCTCATCCTCCCGTTTATATACTCTGGGCTGATAAAATGGGTAATTTGTCTCATGCTTGCTTTGGGGTTGGTCATGTCTATGGTGCTTTGCTGCACTCCTAAATTCTACTGGAGGTGTAACAGGGACTCACTCACCTCTTGCCACAAGGAGACCCACATCACTGCAATTGCCTGAAACGATTAACGCGAGCTGCCTAGAGAACGGACTGGTCCTGCCTGCAAAGCTGCACGTTAGGCGCTAGGCAGATATTGGACTTTGAAAGCAATCATTCATGCAATAAATTCAACAGGTGGCTAAGTTATCTCACTAAGACTCAACAGCAATGCATGCTGTTGTTAAATTTCATTAACAGAAACATAGTAAAATATTTATATGTTGATATTTATGAGATAAAAATTGTAGGTTTTCCACACAATTTTTATCCCAGATTAATCATTTTGTTGTTTTGCTTTTGTCATTTTGTTCTTGTTCGCACCATCTCCTGATTAGCACTGTGGAACATTATCTGAAACACCTGACAGATGATGCCCTGTGAAAATCCCTAGCTGTGGTTGTGTTTTCACACTCTCTTAACACACGTACACCTTTTCTTGTGACAATGTGGGGAAATAAGACTGCTAAAGGAGGGACTGGGCGCCCAGCCTCAATGGAAGAGGGTAGTTTTAACTCCGATTATCACTTTAATCCCTATCACTGCCCAAATGGTTGTTGGCAGAGATGGGAAAGCGACTGGGAAAAGGGGATGTCAGTTGATGCCATTTTAAGTTATTCATGAAATTAAGAGAGAAAAAGCAAAAATCAACACTCCTAACCTTGAGTCTGTGGATTGCAAAGGACAAGGTTCTCAGAAGCTCATGACATTCCAAATTCCCCATGTTATTTAGCACAGAAATAGTTCCTCTCATCTGAACTCCTTTATCTGGCTACCTGCTCCAGCTCTCTTCTTGTCTTGGAGATGCCCCCAGAAATAAACAGAAATCTGTGAATCGCTATGCCATACCACATGTGATATTTTTATGGAATGTGTCCATTAAAGTTTAATAATGTTAATTGCTCATTGACTTCTGTGTTTCAATTCCTCACTGACAATTAATGTCAAAACATTTCACAGTTTCCTCCCTGACTGGAACTACAGCTGAGAGCATATTAGGGAATCTGTAGAACTGGGTGAGTAAAGCAAAAAAGTAACATGTTGGGTTTTTCCTTCATTTAAAAAAATACTTTGTTGCTAAGAGAATACCCTATAACCCAACTAAAAATAAATTGGAAAAAAACTAGGAGTTTGCTCTAGTTAAGTTACATTTTTAAGAGTACCACGGATCTCAGTAAACCTTGGATCAGGCCTGTGGTAAATATTTGTGTTCGATAAGAATGGAAACTGATGTACTCCAGTTGCTCAGTACATAAATATACATAGTGTCTCACCAGCAGATAAAACAGA